CCACTAAAGAAGAATAATGGTCTTGACAGTTAACTTCTCAGCAGAACAATGAGGGCCAGAAGATAGTAGAACAATATCTTTAAAGTGCTGAAAGGAAAAAAAAAAAAACCCCTGTCATCCCAGAATTCTGCATCTCATGAAAATACCCTTCAAAAATGGAGAAATAACATTTTCAAACAAACAAAAACAGGGAAAATTTGTTGCCAGCAGACTTGTACTACAAGAAATAATAAAATGTATTTCAGGTTGAAAGAAAATGACACCAGATGGAAACCTGGATCTATAGCAAGAAATGATGAGTATCAGAAATACTACATATGTGAATAAATACAAAAGTCTGTATTTTCTTGTTTTTGTCTTAATGTCATTAAAAGATATATGAATGTTTAAGGCAAAAATGAGAACACTTATTATGGGATTTATAATGCACTGAGCTGTCATGTATATGACTATAATATTACAAAGAATGAGAAGGTAAATATACCTATACAACAGAAAAATTCTTACATTCTACATAAAATGGCACAGTATTAGTACTACATAGACTTTAATAAACTAGGGAAACATATTGTAATCCCTAGAGAAATCACTAAAAAAAATACAAGGAAGTATAGCTAATAAAATAAGAGAAATAAAAAGAGAAAATTGAAAAAAAATTTTTTTATTATTTTCCCTTCCCCCCCAAAAAAAGCAGAGAAGGAGAAATAGAAGAAAAAAGAATAGATGAGATTAACAGAAAGGAGAAAAAAAGCAAAATGTTAGACCTACATCCAACAGCATCAACAATTAAATTAAATGAATTAAACACAAATTATACGGAAGAGATTGTCAGACTAGAGAAAAATGTAGAACCTAAACCATATGCTGTTTACAAGAGTCATACTTCAAATATAAAAGAATAAATAGGTTGGCATAAAAGGATGGAAGAAGATCTGTCATGCAAACAGTACACATGGAAGGCTGGAGTGGTTATATAATATCAAATAAAGTAGACATTAAGAAAAAGAGTAGGGCCGGCTCCGTGGCCAAGTGGTTAAGTTCGCGTGCTCCGCTGCGGCGGCCCAGGGTTCGGATCCTGGGCGCGGAGGTGGCACTGCTCGTCAGGCTACATTGAGGCAGCCTCCCACATCCCACAACTAGAAAGACCTGCAACTAAGATATACAACTGTGTACAGGGGGGGTTTGGGGAGATAACGCAGGAAAAAAAAAAAAAAAAAGATTGGCATCAGTTGTTAGCCCAGGTGCCAACCTTAAAAAAAAAAAAAAAAAGAAAAAAGAAAAAGAGTACTACCAGAGATAAAGAGAAACATTTCATTGTGATTAAAGGGCAAATCATCAGACACACATAACAATCCTAAATACATATGTATCTAACAGAGTTTCAAAATACACATAGCAATACTGATAGACTAAAGGAAAAAGTATATGAATTTATAATAATATCTGAAGATTTTATCAACAGATAGGAAAAAAAGACAAAAATTCAGTGGGTTAGAGGAGAATTGAGTAACACTACTAATCAATTTGATTGACATATACAGAAGATTACACTCAAGAGTAGAATATACATTTTTAAAAGTGCACATGGAAGAATATTAACCAAGATAGATAGTATGTTAAGCCACAAAACATATTTCAGTATATTTCAAAAGAATGAAATCTCATAGAGTATGTAATTTGACCACAATGGAGTTAAATTAAAAATAAAAAACAAGGTATCTAGAATAACTTCAAGTATTTGGAAGTTATGTAACATACTTCCAAACAACCTATAGGTCAAAAAAAATCACAAAAGAAATTAGTAAATATTTTTAAATGAATGATAATAAAAATACAATGTATCAAGATTTGAGGGATACAGAAGCAGTACTTAGAGGGAAAACAACTTAACTGCTTGTATTAGAAAAGAAGGCAAGTTTAAGATCAATGATATAATGTTCCATCTTATGAAGCTAGAGAAAAAAAGAGCAAAGCAGATATAAACTAAGTACAAGGAAGGAAACAATGAAGAGCAGAAATCAATGAAATAGACAAACAATAGAAACACAAAAGTTGGCCCTTTGAAAATATTAATAAAATTGATAAACTTCTTACTAAGACAAACTATGACAAATAGAAAACTCAACTTACAAATACCAGATATCAGAGGGGATATCACTATAGATTCTACAGATAGTAAAAGAATATTAAGGATATTTCGTGAACAATTTTATGCCACTATATTCAATAACCAAGATGAAATAAAATGCACAGACTTCTTGAAAAATATAACTTGTTAAAACTAATTCAAGAGGAAACAGAAACTATGACTAGCCTCATATCTATTAAAGAAATTGAATTCATAATCAAACCATTCCCACAAAGAAAACCGACCAGATAGCTTCGTTTCACTTGTAAATTTTATCATATTTAAGGAAGAAATATTACTAATCTTACAGAAGTTTCGGTAAATAGGAGGCAACACTGCTCAACTCATTTTATGTTACCATGTGACACCAAAACTTAAGTTATTACAATAAAGGAATACTACAAACTAGTATCTCTCATGAACAAAGACACACAATTCCTTAACAAAATATTAGCAAATTGAATCCAGCAATATATAGGAAGGTACTACATCACGGCCAAATGACTATTTTTCCAAAATGCAATGTTGGCTTAACATTAAAAAATAAATGCATGTAAATCATCACATTAAAAGAATAAAGGAGCAAAACCACATGACTAGATCAATAAATACAGAAAAAGCATTTGACAAAATTCTGACAAAAACTCTCAGCAAACTAGGAATAAAAGAGAACTTACTTCAATCTAATAAAGGGCATCTACCAAAAATCTATATTTAACATTACAGTTATTAGTGAATTATTGAATGTTGTTTCCTTGAGAGAAAAGCAAGAACGTCTTCTTTAACTACTTCTATCCAATATTGTATTGGAAGTTCCAGCCAATGAATAAAGCAAGAATAAGAAATAAAAGATATAAAGCTTGGAAAGGCATAACTAAAGCTGTTATTATTCACAGGCAATGTGACTGTAAACTTGAAAATCCCAAGGAGCCAAAAAAACCCCCCAAAACCAAAAAAACAAAAACGAACCAATCAAACAAAACCCTGCCAGAATATGTGCATTTAGCAAGATTGTAGTATACAAGGTAAATATTCAAAAACCAATAATCTTTCTACATACCACCAATAAATTCAAAGAAAAGTGCGCAAGACTGTTATGTTGAAAACTACATGGTATTACTGAGTTAAATTTTAAAAGATCTAAATAAATTCAGAGATACACCAACTTCATGTGTTGGAAAACTCAATATTTTTAGGATGTCAATTCCCCCCAAATTGATCTAATCATAATTCCACTTCACTAATAGAAATTGATAATTGGAATCTAAAATTTAAAGACAAGAGCTTAGAATAGCTACAAGAATTTTTAATAACAAAAACAAAGTTGGAAGACTTACACTATCTCATTTCAAGATTTACTATAAAGCTAAATAATACAGACTGTGTGACACTGACATAAGAATGGACATATAGATCATTGGAATAGAAATCCATAAATGTGTGTGCCTGAGAGTACATATCCAACTGACCTTTGAAAAGTCATTAGGCAATTCACTGAAGAAAAAATAGTTTTTTCAATAAATGGTGCCAGAATAACTGGATATATGTACAGAAAAAAAAGTTTTTGAACTGTGAGCCTTACCTCACACTACACACAAAAGTATATTTGAAATGGATCACAGACAAGTGTAAAAGTTAAAACTATACAACTCCTATAAGAAAACACAGAAGACCTTTTTTTTTTTTTGAGGAAGATTAGCCCTAACTGTTGCCAATCCTCCTCTTCTTGCTGAGGAAGACTGGCCCTGAGCTAATATCCATGCCCATCTTCCTCTACTTTATATGTGGGATGCCTACCACAACACGGCGTGCCAAGCGATGCCATGTCTGCACTCGGGATCCGAACCGGCGAACCCCAGGCCGCCAAAGCAGAATGTGCGCACTTTGTTGCGTCACCGGGCTGGCCCGGAGAAGATCTTTTTAACTTGCGTCAATAAAAAGTCCTGCTCTTCAAAAACACCATTAAGGAAATAAAAGGCAAATCACACACTAGGAGAAAATATTCATAATACATATATTTGATGAAGGTTTTGCATCCAAAATATACAAAGAATTCCATGTTAAATAATTGTGTTGTTTACTCAGTTAAAACTGGTTAAAATATTTGACAGATACTTTACAAAAGAAGATATATGAATGGCCAATAAACAACATTAAAAGATATGCATCATAATTTCTCATCAAAGAACTGAATATTAGAACCACAATGACATGCCATTTCACATCCACTAAAATGGCTGAAATGAAAATGTCTGACTATATCTAGCTTTAGCAATGACATAGAGCAAATAGGACTCTGACGCTTTGCTGGTGAGATTATAAAGGTATATAGCTTCGGAAAATAGTTTGGCAGTTTCATGTATAGTTAAAAATAAACTTAGAATATGATACAGTAATTATATTCCTAGACCTTTACTTAAGAGAAAGAAAACATATCTACCAAAAGACTGGTACGCAGATGTTTATAGTAGGTGTTTTCTTTTTTTTCTGGCCAAATCTAGAAACAATCTAAATGTCCATCAACAAATGAACTGATAAACAAGTTGTGGTATACTTACACAATGAACTACCATAACTGCAGGCCCTCTAGGACCAGTTCAACTGACCCCATCTTATCAACAGAGTAATTAAGAGTTGTCTTTCAGGAACTGAGACCCCTTGTCCGGTTCAGACCAGTTGAGACCACCAACCCATCAATTGGGTCTGCGCAAATGCTTGATAAGTGGCCTTTTTGACGTCAAGGAACTAAAAGCTACACCCTCAGATCATGGTAACACTGCCATTTTGTGAACATGCATCCCATGAAGAGCCACGAAGCTTGACCACACTTGCACAGATCGTCAATTACCTTACTTCTCCTTACCTCCAATCATCCGTCTCCACACCTCAGACCACCCTGCCCTTCATCCCGTAAATTGTGCCCCAAGCCCTGAAGACAGATCTGAGGGCACATGCCCCGTCTCCTCGCAGATTGGTCTCGCAATATACAGCTACATTTCTTCTCCCAAAAGCTGATGACATAATAATTGGCTTTTTTTATGCACAATGGGCAAGAGAATCCCAATTTTGTGTGGTAACACTACTACTCAGGAATAAAAAAGTAATGGACTAATGAAACATGGAGCAACACAAACATCCAAAACGTACAGTGAGTAAAAGATGCCAGAAACACACATACATACATTATTATTTCATTTATATGAAGATTTAGAACATCCAAAACTATCTCAAGTGATAGAAATCACATCATTGTCTGCCTGGGACAGAGGTCTGTGCGGGAACTTAGTGCAAAGTGGCACAAAGCACTGAGGTGGTGGGTACCTTCTATATTAATTGAGGTGTTAGTTACACAGGTATATCATCTGTTAAAACACATCAAATGACGTGTGCATTTTATTAAATGTAAATTATATTTCAATAAAGTTGATTAAAAAATAAAGTTGAAGAAAACAGCAGAAAAAATGCCACCAAAGAAATTTTTAGATATACTGAGATGTGTATCAAAATTAATAACTATATCTTATTTCCAAAACTACATAGATCCAGACAGTAAACTGAAGAAAGAATCATTGACCATGTACTGTCTACCATTCATTCACTGTGCGAGGCACTGTCAAGTCAAAATCTAATTGTCAGATGATCAGTGTTTCTTATCACTTCTTACAGTCCAGATAAAATGTGTACAAAATTCACTGAGGGGGTATGACTACTAAAGGACAACATTATTCACTGATATGATGAAATTATTAGGGATAGTTTTCTGTTATTTCTATACAGCATCTGTTGGAACTGTGAAAGTGATGGTAAAATGATGAAAATCAAGACAGCAGAAGAAAAGAGGTGGTTAAACTCATGCCATTTAGGACTGCCACACTGTATAACTCACTCAAGTTGCTAAGATTTTATTGAACTGTATCTCCATATTTTAATACTATAAAATATTAGATGGGAAACTCTGAGGAGCCCTGATTTAGGATGGGGGAAGGAAAAAAAAAAATTAGTTCTTCAAGTTTTAAGAAAATTCTAATAATCCAAAGCTCCATGAACTTTTCTTTCTCTTTTGCCCAAATCTCATATCGCGACAGTTCTGTCTGAGCTTGAATGGCAAATTTTAAATGTCATTCAGGACCAATTGAATACCACTTGTATTTGCATTCCTTAAAAAGTGGAAAAACATTAACCTTTTGTTTTATTGAATTAAAATGCCACGGAAATGCTGATGTAGTCTTGGGAGACTGGAATACTTTCACAAAGAAGAATAGCTGTCATTTATTAAACACAAAGAACAATTACTTGATAGGATGCCTTCTGACAAAAAGCAGATTGGTATTCTCATCATAGAAAAGGCATTATAAAAAAAAATCTAGCCAAGACCTCTGAGACTTGAATAATTTAAAGCTGCATTTGGTGCAATTTGAATTTTTCTTTAGGGAGGCAAAGTTAAATACCTTTAATTTGTTCTAATTATTTCAAATTTGCAAGTTAATTATGGCTGATCATTAAATAACAAAAAGGACTATCGTCTCCATAGAGTTTTACCTCCTACCCTCTGCATTACTTAAGCTAGATTTTAGTATGCATGAATTAACTTTCTAAATAATCACACGGTTTGACTAAATGGCTCAGTAAAATGAGCTCTGATCCTCAGAATAAGCATTAATGGACATTAGAAATGCTATTGGGACTCATGTTACTTACATTATAAGTATTTTTAATAGGGCCTTATTTACTAATCTTTATGTACTGTTCGAGTTAGAATACCATACAGATACATTATTCTGCTTTACTGGAGGAAAAGTCCAATCTTTGAGACAATAAAAACAAATGTCCATTTAACACCAAATAAATTCATTTTGAAATTAATGAAGGGATATGACGATGGATTTTAACTTGTTTTAGCTGTTCGTCTCAATGAATCAATCTAGCAAAAATGGTCTGCTTGGTCTGTAAATGGAATATTATGGATCCACTGATGCTAAGTGATTCAAGCAGCAAAAGGAGGTCCAATGAGCCAGTATTTAAATTCCACCAGCTACTTCGAAGAAAGAATTCATTGTTTCTTGTGTTGTGAGAATTTCTAGTTACCATTTATGTGCATACTTGGCTACCAACAAATGTGAAGCCAGATGGCATATAACCCTACTGCTTAGAACTCTTAAAAACAGTTTTCCTAAATGTCCCCACTAAATCTTCATATTCCTCAGGGATGGACCTATTAATGAACAAAATATTCTAAGACCAAAGAGTTTAAAGAACAAAATTTCAAAAACAAAATCTCCATATGCTGTCAGAACTTTCTATTTTCCCACTCCAAAATCATCAATACAAATTTTATTTTCACATATCCAATAAACATTATCTGAGAGCCTACTAGGTGTCAGTTCTGTGTTTGGGCATGGGAATACACAAAGGAACAAGTGATTACCTTTGAATATGTACAAGTAAACAAGAAGAGAGAGCCAGCTCGACAATGAATACATAATGTGGCAGGTGTTATGATGGCAGTATACCACCATAGGCATAAGGGCGAGAGGGAGCTGATAAATATGACAGGAAGCTTGCAAGAAAGGAACGGGGAATCATAAGAGGATGAGGTAAAAAAAAAAAAAAATCACTAAAAAGGAATGATAATTTACTAGCATACACTATGTAAAAGACACTGGCATGGTTCCTGGCTCCAAAAGATGTGGCCATCCTAGTAAAGAATTTACTTATGGGAATATGCCAAATCCCTTAGGTGTGCTGGGTAGCATAAAGGTCTCTGGAAGACAACAGGTACTTCAGAGGCAGAAAAGATATAATTTAGATGTGCTTGGCATAGGAAAGAGAGGAGTCTGACCCTGAGGAGTAGCTAGAGCAGCACAGTAGTTTAGAATATTAGCTTTAGTGTCAGACACAACTGGGTACTGGATAGCTAATTATAAGTTCTGATAGATGTGATTTCTCAAGCGAGTTACTTAACCTCTCTGGGCCTCATTTCCTCATTTATAAAGTGAAGTTAATAATAGTATGTAACTCATAAGGTTGTTGTGAGGATGAAATGAATTAACATATGTACGATATGCAAAGGGATGCCTAGCTCATAAATACTACCTAAGTGTTAGCTTCCATTATTATCATTATTCTTATTACTACTAAGTGAGGCAACATTTAAAAGACTTAGAGCAATATCTAGTACACAGTAGGTATTCAATAAGTTATTACAGACTAGCTGAATAGGCAGATGGCATAATTGCTGAGAATTATAGAGAAAGAGTAGGTCATTGGGTTGGGGGAGTGGGTAACTGAATTGGATCTGAAAACCTTGAATTTGAGGGACCTATAAATCATTTGGGCTAGATAATGTTATCATACAGTTATAAGAATAGGTTTGGACGTCAGGAGGGAAAAGCTGATACCTGAGATAAAGATTTTAGAGTTATCGTCATTGAGATATGATCTAAATTCATGGGAATGAATTAAATTTCCCACAGAGAGAAGTCTATTGATATCTAAACAGTAGGTAGAGGCAAAGGAAGCAGTAAAATACTTTGCAGGGAGGGGAAGCAAAAGCCAACAGGGCCAGAATCTCCGACAGGGAGACAAGCAGAGAGAGAAAAAAGGATAGTGTCAAAAAAACAAGGAAATGAAAGAGATATCAGAAAGGTTAGCTGGCTATTGACAAGTCAAGTAAGATGAAGGCTGAAAAAAAGTACAAAGATTTGGGAATTGGGAGGATGCTTATGACCATGGGGAACACAGTTTTAGTTGAGTGATACATAGGTGAGGAATAAATGGAAGTGAGGAAGTGGAAGCAGAGATGTAGATTGTGCTCTCAAGAAGTTTGGAAAAAAGAATGGAAAGATAGGGCAGTGTTGCAATAGTAAGGCAAAGATGAAGGTATTTCTTTTTTTTTTTTTTAAGGAGAAGGATCTTCGAGCATGTAGAAAATGAGCCTGAAGACGTATGACAAGAGGTATTGATGCAGCGAAATTGCTAGGAAAATAGGAAGGGAATGTGACTGAGGCACTGACGCAGGAGACTTTGGATTTGAGATCCCTCTGGGAACGCTAAGCAATGGCACCTGATGGGCACTTTAAAATGCGAACTCTGGAGAGGTCAGTGCTTCACACAAGGATGTGACCCTCACCATACAATTAGAGACTAGGGCAGACCTCATTTTTAGTGATGGTACACTTTACACTTGAAGATGTCACCAGATCTTAATTTGCTCCCTCACCAAAGGGAATGTAGCTAGAATTTCATTAATTATAATATCTTTATTTTAATTCTTCCCACAAGAAAAAGCAACAGAGTTAAGAAAAAGAGAATGGGAATGAAGCTGTGCTAAATAAAACACTGTGCTGTAGGCATCACCAAATCCCTAATTTGAGGGATTTGCTCTGATTCCAGAAATGCCTTCAGAATTTCTCTATGGTATCCAACAAGGAAAATAGCTCTTTAAGTCAATTAATGTATATTTAAATGTAGAATGTGTACTTTTTTTTAACTTTTTAAAAGTATGTAAGAGAAGGTTAACATTTGGGAAGATGAAAATGTCAGTTTAATATAAACTAAGAGATGCAGGTATAAACAAAACTACGAAGATTGTCCACTACACAATCAGTTTCCTAAGAGCAGATACCACGCCCCACTCTTCTCTGAATCTCTAACAATGCCTTCCAAGGGGATGTACACAGAAAAGAGGCCCAACATACATCTACTGAAGAGATGATTATAATTTGGAAAGCATTTGTGGGATTAAAACAACAGGACACTGAGTTAGTTAACTGTTATCTCTTCCTTGCATTGTAGACCAATCACAGTCATTCCTAGATTGATAATCTATATTTTAATTTCATCAGAGCATGCACTTATGAAGATTCAAAAATCAGGCACAAGATGAGAAAGACAGTATGAGGACATGTTTATAGTATGCTAAAAAACAGCTTGCAAACAAAACGTCAATACGAAATTTTAGAATCAAGGCCAATCCAATCCAAGTTACCAAAGACCTATAAATTAATTGGAAATGTTGAAAAACCTAATGGTGGTCAGTTAAGGACTGCGATTGAAAATCTCCCTGAAGAAAACCAAGGTCCAACTGTGAATCAAAACACAACCAGAGCGTTACTCTGATACAAGGTGAGGACCATGTTTCTGTTATCTCTAAAGCAGTAGTTCTCAAAATGTGGGCCAAGGATGTAAAACATATTTTCATAACAATACTAAGATGTTATGTGTCCTTTTCAGTTTCATTCTCTTATGAGTGTACAGTGAAATTTTCCAGGAGATACATGACATGTGACATCACAACAGATTGAACGCAGAAGCAGATGTGAGAAAACAAAAGCCAGACATTAAAGAGATTTGCAAAAATCGAAAGCAATGATACTCTTCTCACTAAATTTTTTTGTTTTGGAAAATATAGTTTTCATAAAAATACATTATTTATATCAATATGAAATGAGTTTACTACTATTATTTTTAAATGAATAAATATTAAAAAATTTTTAATTTCTAAAAAGTATTAATAATCTACGTTAAAAAGATATAATGTACATAAAAGCTCTTTGGAGTACTCAGTAAAGTTTAAGAGTGTAAAGGCGTCCTGAGATCAGAATGTGTGAGAACTGCTACTCTATACAGCATGATAAATGATGAGGCTATGGAAATAATGATCAACATGTTCCTTGGGAAACTCAATGTGGCATCCATATGGAAGATTCCAGAGAATTAATGGTAGAAGAAGATTTTCATGCAAAGTTTTTAATTAAAAAAATTAGTAAACAATAGAATTGACTTTTGGGGGGTGTATATAGTTCTATGAATTTTAACACATACATAGATTCTTTTAGCCATCACCACAATCAAGATACAAAATGGTTTCATCATCCTAAAAAAACTCCCCTTACAATTCCTATGTAGTCATACCTTCCTGCCATCCCTAACTTCTGGCAACCACTGATATGTTCTCCATCACTACAGTTTTGTCTTTTCCAGAGGGCCATGTAACTGGAATCAAACAGGATTCAATTTTTTCTTTTTTTTTTTTTTTAAGATTGGCTTCTTTCATTCAGGACAATGTCTTTGAGATTCATCTAAGTTGTCATGTATATCAATCGTTCCTTTTTATTTCTAAGTAGTATTCCATTGTATGGACTTATCACGGTTTGTTTATCCATTTACCCATAGAAGGACATGTGTGTGGCTTCTAGGTTCTGGCTATCGCAAATAAAGTTACTATGAACCTTCACGTAACTAAAAGAAGCCCTTAAATTTCTAACAAAGGGTAAAGTAGGAAGTGTTCCGGCTCTTACCACTGATAATGGCATGTTTAAAAACGAGTCCTGTTCCTTCATTCTCAACAAAAGTTTTGTAAAAAACTTTAAAAGTACCATCCAAAGTTCCTGAGATCAGACCAAATCATTTACATTAAAGGAATGTTTATTTCCCATTTATTGAAGGAAAGTCAACAAACTCCTTGAGAATTTATCAGGAGTTCCAAATCCAATTTGCCCTTTCCCTCTGCCCATTCAAGAGACTCACATGAACTTCACCTGATCAAGAAGTGCCACAAAAATAACCCATTTTCTGGCATTTACAGAATCATGTGTTTTAGGGCTTGACTGCTGAGCAAAACAACTAGCAAGAGAGCATCAAAAGGCTTCCTTGTCTCCTTGGACCAAATAGAGCTAAGAATCTCCCTTTAAGGCTTTGATTATTATGTAGGGGATAACCAAGCTGGAAACATGAGACTTAGAATCAATGAACCTTCTACAAAAATCCTGGGTGCACCAGTATGCTACAACACCTTTTATGTTTTCATACACTCAATATGACCATAAGTATATACACACCATTCTCCACCACAGGGGCCCTTAGAACTGGCTAACAGCCATTGATGGCTGGAAGCTTTTGGTAGATAAACAGCAATTTTGAAATCCATTTTTTTAATTTTTGCCAACGGATTCTATTCATAGAACCATCATCTACTGAAGCAAATGAGAATGTAGTAGAAAGCTGAGCAAAAAGAAAAAATAGCATTTTAGACAGATTTAAAGAAAACACTTAACAGGACCTATAATTAGAGCAGCCAGCTTTGAGCTATAAAATCATGGATTTCTTATAGTTTGTATGGGCCATGCCTTGGCACCCATTTGACCCAGAACCCTCCAACAGAATGAAAAGCCCCAGAGTATAAGGATAAAATGAAAGCCTTTAATTACCCCAGTGTGACTAGTTTAAAGGAAATCAATCACACTATCTTAATGATAATAGTTATATATAATTTACATGTTCTTCTCATATAACATTTGTTGCTATTGGCATTACTGTACAGTCACTAAATGAACCATAGTTTTTGAATTCCACAATTTAAAATTGGTTTCTGTTGAGCTGTGCTGTTTTGCAAAAAGATTTCTGTGCAGTAAGTGTGTTTCATCAAAAACCTCACTGCTAGGTGTCATGCTGGATTGCTTGTTGGAAAAAAGTGAGAGGTAGGAGCAGGAAGTTGCTAAGTATGAGTATATAATAACCACTTGGCCGTGAAAAACAAATCATGACACCATATTATGTTTATTAGCTCATTTATTTAGAGATTCAATCTCCTTTTGCATCGCTCAAAGGCTCTGCAAACACAGAATCAAGGGATCAGAAACCATGGTTCAAAAGGTTGACTTCAAATAGCACTACTCAGCCACCTTTGGCACATACCTGCTCTGGAAAGGAAGGGCAATTTTGATACTCCTTTGATCTCTAGGGGCCATAAAAATATGCAAAAGCTATTTGCTAAAGATAATGATAATAGTATTAGAATAAAATGTTTACTGAACATCAGTTACATTATAGCAGGACATGTAAGACTTTTAAATTAATTTACACAACAAGCACAACCCGAGCTTAGAAAGGCCCTTGTCTAGTTGGTCCACAAACTAGACATCACCAGAACAACACGAGAGCTTTCTGAAAATACAGATTCCTGGGCCTCATCCACAGAAATTGTAATTTAATAGGTCGAGGCTAAATGTCCTTGGTTTCTTCCATTATTTCTCCTATAACATAGGCTTCAGTTTCCATAGCTCCATGACAGGAATAAATAATATCTATCTATAAGATTCCCTCTAAACACTGTTTTAGCTGCATCCCACAGGTCTTGATATGTTGTGTTTTCACCTTAATTCGGTTCCATATTTTCAATTTTAACTGCAGAATCAGCATGCCCTACAAAATAATTTATATTTTTATCAGATACACATTTTATCATTTTCCCTGCAGCCCTACAAGCATGGGTATCACGACTCTCTAATTTTTGCCAATATGAAGAATGAGAAGTGACAGCTGACTGCTTTTTCCTTGAAGAGTAAGAAGTCAGTCACGTAAGACTCCAGGGATAGACCATTCCAGGCACAGGAAACTGCAAGTACAAAGAGATGGGGATGAAAATCAGTTTAGTGTATTCAAGGAATTGCGAAGGCACTGTGGCTGGAATATGCTGAGCAGAGTGACAGCAGTAAACAATGAGATCAGAGAGGTATTCAAGGACCATATCACGCAGGGCCTTGTAAACTGGGGCAGAGTTTAGATTTGTATTTCAAGTATGCATTGGAAGCTATTAGAGGGTTTTTGGCAGAGGACTGACATGATTCTGACACACATTTTTAAAATGACCACTCTGACTACTGTGTCAAGGATGGGCTGTAGGAACTACAAGTAGAAACAGAAACATCAATTAGCAGGCAACTGGAATAATCTGGGTGGAAATGGTGGCGGTTTCGATTAGAGTGGAAGCAATGGAAGTCAAGGGAAGATGACAGAAAGGGAATAATCTGAGAAGTAGGGTCAACAGGACTTACTAATGAACTGGATATGGAGAGTGAAGGGAGGAGGGAAATAAGTCAAGGTGGTTTGCACAGTTTTTGACTTGAGCAACAGAGCACAAATCTATTTGAAATGGGTAAGAAGAAAAGTATAAGTTTGGGTTTTCTAAACATCCTTTTTTGTCATCTTGGTGGTATTCTATAGGAGACAGTGATAACTACATGTTCAATCTGCTTTCTTAGATCATAAATCATCTTATAATTCAGAATCATGTCCAGAATTAATGTCTAGTTCACTGGATTATAATATGAAGAATCTACTTCTTTTTTAAATTTTAAATGAAATTTATCCATCTTCGGCCTCCCGGCACCTCCACAGTCTTCCACAAATCTTAAAGGTTACTGATAAAGGTTCAGTAGCCTTATCAACAGGACCTTTTATTACCCTGAGATGTTTATAAATATAAACATATAAACATATGTATATGTATACACGTATTTTAAATAAACTCCTCACCTAAATTTTGCTTCAGTTTCCTTGTACCAGTGGTTGTTCTACTCTTTCTAGACCAAAGATTACTCATCTTGAGAAGAAAAATAGTATTTGGGTAATGTTTCATATTCTTTGGCATGTGCTAACACATCATAGGCCCTAAATAATAAGCCTATCCTTGGTTTGCCCTTAATCTGTCAAACAAAATCAAATAAGCTATTTCAGTCATCCATGGCATGTTTTAAAACCCTAAACTTATTTGGGGCTTTAGTGCATTTGATAGCATTCTTAGCTTTCTTTCAAATTCTCTTATACCCACCCTTAGATATATATCTTCCTATTTTTGCAGCCATGATCTAAAGAATTCTCTCTCAATTCCTCAATTAATTTATGTTTGCATGGTCAGAATTATACTTTTGATAATTTCCCAGGTCTTCTGACTCTATCCTTTTGAGTCTCAGATCAGAAAATCATGCTTTTCTTTTTTCTGCCTTTCTTTAGTTACACATCTAATTATGACCAATTTTTCATTTGTCAGAACTAGGCTGAGCATGACAACTCTACTGGTTGCCTTCATTTCCTTTTAGGTTATGAAATGCTAACTTGCAGTCAAGAATTCGTAGAGTGGAATAAGATTTCCAGTTTTCATTTCTCTTTCATTTTACTCAAATGCCCTCCAGTACAAGAACAAGTGAGAATGCTTTCTCTCTTAAGTCTGAAAATCACCCCATGAAGTGTTCTTAAGGACTGGGGAAACCAAGGCTTAGCAAGGGTAAATAATTCACCCAAGTTCATACAACTAGTAAGTGGCGGAGCTGAGATTTGATCCCAGGTCTCACTGCCGAGCTTGAGCTGTTAGGTCACGCGCTACACTGCCTTGTAATAAGCCACTCCCATATTCCCAATTCCATAATGTAGGATTACAGAATTCTACAATTGTATATATTTTCCCGACATACATTCCTACTTCAATGTCCTAAGAGATCTGCTTTTCAAAAAAGCAGTACAAATTCAACATTCCTAAAATCAGTTGGACAGGCAATGCCACCAGACATCTTTTCTGCGATTTCCTGGTCAGTTCTGCTTCCCTCTCTCAAGCCCTTCACAGCAGTAATTTCAAGCCTTTTTTACTCTTCAAATCTTTAATCCCACTCTCAATCGCCCTATACTTTCCTAACCTCCCCTACCACACTCAAATAGATCATCCCATCTCTTACTTTACAGGAAAAATTGAGACTATCATACAGGAACACTTTACTTACCTGCTAAAAAACCTATAAACTTAAAAATAAGTTTCCACATTCCCTCCTGTTACAGTGGGTAAAGTCTTCCTTCTCTTGACTGAAGTTAATCTCCCACCTGTGATTCGGATTCCATTTCCTGTATTGCAGGGATCTCGTTTCACCGATAATTCCCTCTCTCCTGTATTTCCCACCTCTTCATCTTTACTGTCTCCTTACCAGCTACATTTAAGTATCTGTTTCTTACCTCGCTCAAGAAAACCCTTCTTTGACTCTACGACTGCTTGCAGCTACGGCTCCCTGCCTCCTCTCCCCTTCATGGCTAAGCCCCTTTGTCATTACCATTTCCTCATCTTCCACTCAATCCAAAGCCCATCATCTTCCATCCCCACCATCTCTGTTGCTAAGTCCAGTGGCACATTTTCAGACTTATCACACTTGCTCTTTCAGCATGATACAAAGATCATCACTCCCTTCTTCAAACACTTTCTCTCCTTGATTTTATGATGTCATTTTTCTCTTGGTTTTTCACCAGTTTTCCTCACTGCTTGTCTCAGTTTTCATTACAGCCTCTTCTTCCTCTACCTATTCATGAAAAGTTATTTGGGGCTCTCTTTTAGCTTGATGTTATGTCATCTAAATGTCCTCAAATTTTAAATGTTTAAAAACATTGTGTTAACCAAACACTATATCTGTAGGCTTGATTCAGCCAGGCCACCAGTTTCAGCCTCCTGCCATAATCTCCCTTAGAGATTGTTAGGTTTTCCTTGGTTTCAATGACCATTCATATGTTTTACACACACACACGCATACAGATACATTCTCTGCCAAACATGTCATCTATTCATTTATTTACCCAAATAATAAATATGAGGCCTACGTCCTGTGCAGAAACTTAAAGCCCAGTGCAAGTGTTTCCATTTTATTTTCAACGTGCTGAATACCAGATATTTTCTTATGTGAAATATGAGCATTTTCTTCTCGTCTGTTCATCAGGTCATGTCTACTATCCTATATAATATGCTCATAGTTTTATCCCTCTAGCTCCTCTGTATCCACTTTAAAGTTCTCTGGATAGGACAGCTAGCTCCCTATGTTCTTCCCAATCATCATATAAAGTACTCCATTTTCAGCTAAGACCCATTTTTCTAGTTGAGTGAGGACATGGTCCCATAATTCAAACATATTTTTGTGGTCTGTAGTTATATCTTCGGACTTAAATGAATAATTAGATTTGAAGAGTCTCAACAAGTTCTCTATAATAATATGGACAGAGGATGTAATGATGGCACACTTTCTTATGAATTATGTCAGGTCTATATAACGTTACCTCCAAACTTGTATAATGCAATCATCAACTAACCTGGTGGACTCCCTTCTTATAGAAGACAACAGCAGATTTCCTTGATTCTGCTAGAACTTTGAAATTTTCTTTACTGTTTCTGTGCTTTTCAAATTATTGGACATATACCTAATGGTAACTGAATTTATTCTTTTCCAAATTTCTTTACTTAGTTTGCATATTGATAAAATGAGAGAGCTGGATCACACCTCTCTCTATAGGCTCTTTAAGCTCTATAACTGTAAAAATTCATCTTCATATTCTGGCTTTTATTATTTTCATTATAACTTTTCAAGGAACACAATTTCTGCCGTATGAGTATGGTAGAACAGACTGTTTTTCCTCTCTTTATACTGTCACATTTTTCTGCTTGCCACCTACCTGACAGTACTTTTCCCCTCTTAAGAAACCTAGAAATTTCTAAAACCTACATGCTTGCTCAGAATCTTATACTACCAGATTCCTTTTAGTTTCTTCACTCTTTCTAGAAACTCTTCAAACTTTCTAACGAGGTCAAGTTTAAAAAGGTATCTTTTTTTCACTTTTCCCTCAAAGACACCTGCTTGCATGTGAAACTCTTATGACTGAAAGACAATCGGAGCAAAATTTCCATAAGTCGTCAGAATAGTAAACTCCCTCGTGGCTAGGAATTTCACTTTCAGGCAGAACCAGAGCCTTTTCTGGTTCTCCTTGAGAGTTCCTGGGTTGGCTCTCTGGACAAACTGCCAGACCTTTTGATTTCTTTAGTAAAACCATTCCTTTCTCATACCACCCAGCATTTCTGCCCTTCACTTTACTAACAAAGTAACAAAGATTATATAATCCCTTTACCAAACTGGGAGGAATTGGAAATAATTACTCAGTTCTTCTCATCCTCCTTTCTTTGCAGATAAGGTCAATTTGCTTTTTTCCCCTCTTCCAGTTTAGCTAAAGTAACTTCTGTGTATCATTTTACAAGGACACAAGCAAATAAAAAAACACCTGACATTACTATTCTTATGGAGGGCGTTTTAGTAAGTGTTGCTGGGATTCAGTGCAATCAAGTTCTGTTTACAATCTCACCTTTTCTTCCTGCTTAAGTAGTGTAGCTACCACTAGACCACACTAAGTAGTCATCAACTACCTAGTACACGTAAAATCAAGATGACTTTTTTAAAAAACCTATGCTTTCTCTGATTTATTTGCACAATGTTCTGCCTTTATACTTTCCTAGTTTTGAAAATAAAGTTTTCATTTCAGATTTCCAGAGAAGTTTGAAGACGTTACAGAGAGATCTCATATACCCTTCATCGAGCTTCCCCTAAAGGTAACATTTCACAATACTATGGTACTTTTATTAAAACTAAGAAAACAGCATTGGTACATTACTACTAACTAATCTCTAGACTATTAGGATTTCATCAGTTTTTATACTTATGCCTTTGTTGTTGTTCCAGGATCCATTCCACATGGCATTTAGTCATCATGCCTCCTTAGTTTCCTATGATCTGTGACAGTTGCTCAGTCTTTCCTTGTCTTTCACGATCTTACCTGACCAGTTTTGAGAACTAGCCAGGTATTTTGTATAACGTTCCTCAATTTGTATTTGTCTGTTGTTTCTCCTGTGTTTAGTAGAACGTTACGAGTGTTTGGGAAGAATACTGCAGAAGTGACATTCCCTCCTTATCACATTGTGTCAGGGGTTACATGACACCAACAGGACTAATCACTGGTGACATTAACCTTGGTCATTTGAATAAGGTAGTGTTCACCAGATTTTTCGACCATCAAGTATGATTTCCCCCCTTTCCATATCCTATTCCTTGAATGTCAGTCACCAAGTCCAGCTCACACTCAAGGGGCTTGACGATTAAGCTCTACCTCCAGGAGGGGAAAGTATTTACTAATGTTATTTGGAATTCTCCTAAGGATTATTGGTCCCTTCTCTCTCATTTATTTATTCATTCAATCATTTACTTATATCAGTATAGACTCAACTACTCTTATTTGATACTTTGGGTTAGAGTCCAGTATCACACTATTTATTTTGTTGCTCAAATTGTTCCAGCTTAGGCCATTGGAAGCTCTTTTAGGTTGGCTCCTCTGTCTCTTTGACATTCCCTCATCCTTTTGATTTTTGAGCATGTCCTTGCTTTCTGGCTCACAGCTCATCTTTCATTCTCTTTGTCCCATCACTATAATTAGCCATTTCTCTAAGGAGTCCTGGTTTCTTTTACTGGGGAATGGTATTTATTTATTATTTTATTGAGGTCACATTGGTTTATAATATTGTGTAAATTTCAGGTGTACATCATTATATTTCAGCTTCTATATGGACCGTACTGTGTTCACCATCAAAAGTCTAGTTTCCATCTGTCACCATACACATGCCCCTTTACCCCTTTCGCCTTTCCCCTCCCCATTCCCCTATAGTAACTACCAGTCTGTTCTCCATATCTATGTGTTTGTTTATCTTCCACATATAAGTGAAATCATACAGTATTTGTCTTTCTCTGCCTGACGACTTGTGCTTAGCATAATACACTTAAAGTCCATCCATGTTGCAAAATTTCATCATTTTTATGGCTGATTATTATTCCACTGTGTGTGTGTGTGTGTGTGTGTATCACATCTTCTTTATCCATTCATCCACTGATGGGCACTTAGGTTGCTTCCCAGTCTTGGTTATTGTGAATAATGCTGCAATGAACATAGGGGTGCAAATATCTTTCTGAATTAGTGTTTTCATGTTCTTTGGATAAACACTCAGAGTGGAATAGCTGTATCATATGGTTTTTCTATTTTTAATTTTTGGAGAAACAGAGATGGTATTTAGAAACCAATATCTGGGTGTTGGGTGTGCTCATTGCTACTGGGTATCACTGCTTCTAGGCCCTCTCATGAGACAGGGCTAGGAGATATATATTATATATACTAACTCATACCTGTATCTTTGTATATATCCACATGTATGTGTGTGTCTGTGTATATATACGTAGGTGCTCTGGACTGAATTGTGTCTCCCCAAAATTCATATTTTGAAGCCTTAACCCCTAATGTGATGGTATTTGTATTTGGAGATGGTGCCTTTGGGAGGTAATTAGGTTTAGATGAGGTCATGAGGATGGGGCCCTCATGATGGGATTAGTGCCTGTATAAGAACAGACACCAGAGAGCTTGTTTGCTCACTCTCTCTACGATGTAAGAACACCGTGAGAAGGCAGCCATCTGCAAGCCAGGAAGAGAGTTCTTAACAGAACTTGAACATGTTGGCACCCTGATCTAACATTTTCAGGCTCCAGAACTGTGAGAAAATAAATATCTGTGTTAAAGCCACCCAGTCTTTGGTATTTGGTTATGGCAGCCTGAGTAGACTAAGACAATACATAAACATGAGAATATACTAATGTCTCCACCTCAATCTAGTATCACAGCATTCATTCTAGCCTTATATCCTTGCTTATCTTTAATTTCCCTCTATGTCTCTTTTAAATTTATAGACTGTAGGTGTCATGTATTAGTAGCTCTCATGGGGCTGGAGATATATCCTATTTTTTATTTTATTTTATTTGTTTTAAAGATTGGAACCTGGGCTAACAACTGTTGCCAATCTTCCTTTTTTTTTTTTTAAGGATTGGCACCTGGGCTAACAACTGTTGCCATCTTTTTTTTTTTCCTGCTTTGTCTCCCCACACCCCCCCTGTACACAGTTGTATATCTTAGTTGCATGTCCTTCTAGATGTGGGATGTGGGACACCACCTCAATGTGGCCTGTCGAGCGGTGCCATGTCCGCGCCCAGGGTCCGAACCCTGGGCCGCCGCAGTGGAGTACGCGAACTTAACCACTCGGCCACGGAGCCGGCCCCTGGAGATATATCTTACTGGAACAGACGTTTACTGTGGATATACATTAGCTTTCTGTGCACACAATACTTCTTTCAAAACTACCATCCATGGACCTACAGAATGCCTTATCCACCATCATGGTATTTTACACAGCATTGCTTCTGATCAAGGAATTTGCTTCACTGCAAATGAAGTATGGCAATGGGCCCATGCCCATGGAATTCACTGATCTTACCATATCCCCCATCATCTTGAAGTAGCTATCTTGGTTGAACAGTAGAACGGTCTTTGAAGACTCAGCTACAGTGCAAACTAGGAGGCAATACCTTATGGGGCTGGGGAAAGATCCTCCAGGGTGCTCTAAACATGTTCCAAATCAGTGTCCAACATGTGGTGCTGTTTTTTTCATAGCCAGGATTCACAGGTCCAGGAAAGAAAGGATGGAAATGAGAGTGGCTCCACTCACTATTACCTTAAGTGATCCATTAGCAAAATTTCAATTCCCTTCCTCATGACCTCAGGGCCTGTTGGTCTAGAGGTCTTCACTCCAAAGGGAGAAATGCTTCCATGAGGAGACACAACAATGATTCCACTGAACTGGAAGCTGACACTGCTGCGAGGCCACATTGGGTTCCTCATGCCTCTGAATTAACAGGCAAAGTTCAGCTTGTACAGTAACAGGCTGGGGTTGTTGATCATAATTATCAAGAGGGAAATGGGTTGCTACTACACAACAGAGGTAAGTAAGAGTATGTCTGGAATACAGGAGATCCCTTAGAGTGTCTATTAGTACTGTCTCCTATGATTATAGTCAATGGGAAGCTACAAAAATCCAATCAGCTATGACTGCTAATAGCCCAGCCCCTTCAGCAATGGTGGTTTGAGTCACCCCACCAGACAAAGAACCATGACCAGGTGAAGTATTTGCTGACAGCAAGGGGTAGTGGAATGGATAGTGGAAGAAAGTAGTTATAAATATCAGCTACAGCCATGTGGCCAGTTGCAGAGATCAGGACTGTAATAGTTATGAGTATTTCTTCCTTACACTATTATGGATAGTTTTATATATGTATATTAACCAAATATTTTTGTTTACTTTCCTCTTTTAGCCCTTTATCATATAACATAAGATGCATTAACATAATTAACTTTCCATCACAGCATTGAAATTACAGGATATCAAGGAAGAGTGACCATCCTCTAAGGACTTCACATCCTCTCTGGGGAATGAGTTAGCATGCTTTCAGTTATGTGGGATACTTGTATCATGTAAGGTGAAAGTATGCCTTTTTTATTACCTTTATTTAGAGATTAAGTATGGTTTAAGAAGATGTGTATGGGTGCCAGGTTGACAAGGGGTGGGCTGTGATGGTCTTTTTTATACATCAACTTGGCTAGGCTACAGCGCCCAGTTAACCAATTAAACACTAATCTAGGTGTTGCTCTGAAGGTATTTTGCAGATGTGATTAAAATCTATAAAATCTTAGGTAACCTGGATGGGCCCGATTGAATTTCTTGAAAAGTCTTAAAAGCACAGCTGAGTCTTCCCTGAAAAAGAAGAAGCCTCTGCTGTGGATAGCAGGTTCAGTCTGTACCTGAGAGTTCTCTTGCTGACAGCTTGCCTTATGGACTTCAGACTTGCCTAGCATAAGCCAATTCCTTGCAATACATCTCATAATATATATCTCCTATGGTTCCGTTTCTCTGGTTGACCCTGATTAACACAATCCTTCACCAAGCCACATGACATAACAAAGAAAGATTCTTTCTATCAAACAGCCCAGGGCTCAAATTCAAGGTTACAGGATTAAGGCTTGCACACACTGTTTACCAAAGGAGAAAATGCCAAATAGCAAAAGCACACAGAAATCAATCCTCTTCACCACATTTCACACAGCAATGTGAAAAACAAATGAGCTGAGTTCAGTATAAAATCTTCTCTGTAGGATTATCAAAAATTAGCATTGCTTCATATGTAATAGCCGTTCTTCTGAACCGGACGTCCACCTACAACAAACCACCATGGGCTAACCAAGATCACAACCACATCCTCAGACACTTTATGATCAAAAGACGTGCTCAGAAACACAGTCACTATTTCTTTTCATCTTATCTTCAAATAAGCCTCCAGTTACCCTATCTAACCAGGAAGTTTCTACATACATACTTCTACAAATAAAATAATGCACTTGTTTTTAAACTTCTGTGTTTGTGTTTGTCCTCTGTGTATTCAATTGTCCTGAATCCAAAAATCAATTCTTTAGTACATCCAGGCAGCTAGAAAAGCCAATTGAAGCCACTGCTAATTAAAAATAAAAACCTTTAATGGCATCTAAAAATTTTATATCTTTTTAGAGAGAACTCTTGGGGCTCCTGAAAACAAGAATAAATAAATTGACTTAACAATCACTAGTCTTAACCTTGCTGCCTCCACTCTTTTACAGGTATATAAAAGTCTTGTATGCCAATGGGATGTTTTAGTAAAATGCTTTAGGCTTCAATCTATTTTGTCTTAGCTCTTACTCCCTCTTCCCACTGCAAAATATCTTATGTGCAAATACCTGTTGTATAAATGACAAACAGCAATATGTTTATGGATTCCTTTCATAGAAAAATCTTACATATTTGTAGAAAGAGAAAAGGATCAAAGCCTAGACATATTTTATCAATTAAGTCATAATATCCAGTAAAAATCTCTTGGATTCTACCAAAGATTTGACATGACAACTAAGACTGCAGTTGTAGGCTTCAGACTAATCTCTGTGTATTGGGGCTTGCCAAAAAATTGCTAAAAAAGAAATGATACTTTTTAACCAGCTGATACCTCCAAGCCAGTACTGCTTTTCTCTATCTCCTGGGAAACAACGTTCAGTATCCAAGATGCCACCTCTATTCCATATTGTGACAAGAATCCATATGATTCAGACTGGAACAGGATAGGCAGTCACCATCTAAAAAGAAATCAAACTGCTCTCATTCCAAATAAATCTGGGAATGAGGTTATCAAAGCAAGCTGACTCAAGTGGCAATGAAACTTCCAATTCCCCAATCCCACTAATATTTTTGGCTGGGAAGAAAATTACTTTCACAAAGATTTGTGTGGGTACATTAGAGCGAAGGGTGAAAGCCACCACTATTCTATCCACTTGTGTACAGCATATAAAGCGTAAATGTTTATACACTTTATTATTCAGCTCCTTGTGTTTAACGAGTGGTAGTGCAATACTCTTCATAAAATGTCTCTGGTTTCTATACATCATGCTTTCTACCTGCTGTATTCACATACATACACATCGACATCAGACCCTGGGAAAATGCTATGCAGCCAAATAATCTAACATCCTGAAATCTGTGAATTGCCATCTTAGAAAATATTTATCCCATAAATTCATTA